GTATTTCAGGTTCTCCATCTTTAAAAAAAGAAAAATGCAAATAGCCCTGGCCAGTGTGGCTCAGTTGGTTGAGAGTCTTTCCATTCACCAAGAGGTCACTGGTTAGATTCCCAATCTGGGGTACCGACTCGATCCCCCTGCAGAGTGCAAGAGGCAGCTGGTTGAGTCACATTGATGTTTCTCTCTCTCCTTCTCCCTTCCTTTATCTCTAAAATCATTACAAACATATCTTTTTAAAAATGCAAACATTTTTCTCCTTTTTCCAATTACCAAGTAGCTAAAAATGTATCCAAGACAGTAATTAATATTGAGTAAAAATCCTTAATTACTATAATTAAGGTTTGTCAGAATGATAGTTATTAGGTTAAATGCTGATTAATTATTAAAATATAGGTTTTTCCAAAAAAATATGTTTGAATCAATTGTAATTGGACAACAAAGAGTTTCAGGGTGCCTGTCACTACTTGAGCCAATTAAGCAGAGACAGGGTTGAATCATATCTGAGCATTTATTCCAAAATGCCATTGTATGGGAGAGCAGCAGGTCATCCAACAAAAATCTGCTGTGTCCCTCCCATAAGCCAGCTGCTCATATTGGGTAGGAGGCAAAGATTATGTGGGAGAGTAAGAATACCAAGCATAGGCAGGTAGGCAAGGTATAATGGTTACAGGTCACAGGCAATGCAGGTGGGGGAGGTGTTGCTGAGGGAGGGTGCCTCTGGGCACCTCCAGGACCAGATTTCAGGCAAATAAGGGCTGGGCGTTGCAAAGGGTAGGTGCTTCCAGGACTAGATCGTTCCAGCCATGAGGTTGTACATCTTTCCATAATGTAGGCAGTTCTTGGAAAATGACGGACCACATTCTGATATTAGCTCCCATGTCCCAGGGCATACAGCTCTCAGCCAGATTAGAATGTGCTTTCTCTAACCAGAACAGAACAATCCTGGTTAAGAGAGCTTGATTAATATTTCTTATAATTGTAGCTATTTTTCAATATTCTATTGCTGCCCCTAACACAATGACATAGAACTGCTATCTAGAAAATATGAATTAAGAGTCTCCTTTGTATCCTACACTATCTTTTGATGATGGGGAGGTTCACTCTGATTATGATGTTGAGAATATATTTCAGAGTGACCTTGCTAGGAGGAGGACATCTGGATACAACTGGTTTCCAGTCCTATAATTTGGAACAAGAGAACACAACACAACCACAGGACACTGAGTTCTGTCTGACTTCTGTGGTCTAATAATAAATGCTTGGAGTAAGAATCTACATATCAGAATTGTTGATTTGGGATACTTGAGCTTTAGAAAGAATTTGAGCTCCTCCTAGTTCAGTATCCCCTTCTGCTGAAGACAACATTGCTGTTGGATACCCCTTGCAGAGATTTTCTTTAGGAATTAATACAATGAATAGAAAGAACCCTTGGCCCAACCAATTCTATATGGCACCTGTTTTCATTTTCCGAGTCTTCCATGGGACAGTGATTGTGGCAATAACATATCTATAATAATTTATGAACATTACATGTTAGTTCTTGGAGTAAGAAAATAGGTACATATGGACATTCTTTAAAATTATATAGTGTAAGGTTTACAACAGCCGTTTAATTAATGGTTTTTGCTTAGCTGCTGCTATTGTGAAAATGCTCCTTTAGGGATTTTGTTTCTACTATCTTCAGTCCTTAGTAAATGCCAGTTAGTGACAATGTTTTTGCAAGTGGTCTGAGATGGTAAGCCACTATCACTTACAGGCAATTTGGTCTTCATTACAAATTAATGAAGTGATAATTGCTCTCTGCAACCTTTTACATTCAACGTATTGTGGTGCTGTTTGTATTATCTTTCTGAGATTTATACCTCTGCATTCAAGGACTTGTGATAGCTTGCTGAATTAGTATTGAGAGGAAAATTGTTAAACCAGAGTGAAAGCTCCATAATTAAAATAATAGTTACATCAAATTATGAAAATTTCTCTATAATTTCTTCTTTGTTTCATGTCTAGTAAAAATGCTGCTCATACATAGCAGAAGAAATTTGCAATCGATTCATCAAAGTACAAACTCCTATTTATTCTGAAAAGGAAATCTTGGCCTAAATTTTTTAAGTTAATTGGTTTATTTTAAAATAATGATGTCCATGATCTAACTTTCTTTAAAATGTCCACAGAAAACATTTGCTCTCTGGGGTTTTTGTTGGCTCTGTCTTTATAGTGCCTTTGGAGAGCCAATGTGATGACCATAGAGGTGATTCCACATCATAATGATCTTTCAACAACAGAGTATCAGAGTTATGGGGAGCACCAACTCTGTTCACTCTTTTTCTTTCTTTCTTTTTTTTTCTTATAATTTTTTAATCCTCATCTGAAGATAGACTTATTAATTTTAGAGAGGGGGAGGGAGGGAGAGAAAGAGAGAGAGATGAGAGAGGACATTGATTGGTTGCCTTCCATACTGAGGATCAAACCCACAACCTAGGCATGTGACTTGCCTGGGAATCAAACCGGCAACCCTTCCTTATGCAGGTCGATGTGCTAACCAACTGTGCTACACCAGTCAGGCTTTTTAATTTTATTTTTCTGGTATTAAACATATACATTAATTTTGTTTAAAATATGACTATACTATTATAAGCATCTCAGTGTAAAATCCTGAGGATTGAGACTCTCATGCACAGTTTTCATCTTAAATTTTCATAGAGTGGATGGTGAGAAATGGTGTATTGTTGATTAGTAAAAGCACAGTGTGAATATTTTATTTTCTTATATTAAGATAATAGTATAAACGTGTCTTATATATTAATTCTAAGGTTTTCTAAAATAGTCCAAATTTGTTTCTTTGTTGGACCTAAGTCAAAACAATTTTGTCTTCAGAAAATTAAGGCCATTTTTATAGTTTAGATCTTGAATGATTGAGATTATTAAACTAAGTCGTGCTTTTTAAGTTTTTTGTTTTTGTTTATTTTTAGTTTGTAGGAGAGGTAAGGAGAATAAGAATTATTTTAACTGTATTAATGGTGGTCCACAAATTAGTTTTGTTAATTTAAACACCCTAATGCAAATAATTTATTTTTCTAATTAGATCAAAGGCCAAATAAATGTCATATTTCTTTTCTTGTGGTTATCATCAATTTCATCTTATTTTGTGACTAAAATTTATGGATTGGAATTAATTTCTATGTGTTTTTAATAAATACATATAGAAAAAATGTTAATACACCTTAAGTGCCATTGATTTTGTTTAAAGGTAGGTAAACTTGCCATTCCCTTAATGGAGAAAAACTTATAATACATTTATATAGGGGTTCACAAGGATTGTGTTTATTTATTTAAAAATTAAGATATATTATCTAATAAGAACCTTATATGTGTTACTTCCTTGAATTATTTCTACATGTATTATAAGAAAAAAAAAGTATGCATCTTCCGAAAGGTGAAGTTTTATGTTGCATACTGCCGAGGATATGAAGAGGTCTAAAATTTAGCAAAGGCAATGAAGCAAAACTAAACTTACCTTAACATGTTTTATGAATTAAATGTGGTATTTAATAAGGGTTATATAATGCATTCTTATGTAATAAGAATTAGTGAGGTATGGAAGGCATCAAGGAGAAAAGAGCACAATCTAGTTGGGGTAATACCATACACAAAATAACGATCAAATGTATATTTAAAAACAGTGAAAGAGTTCATTTTGATGAGAAGATGGTATGTCACTAATCTCGATTCAGACTTCTAGCAAAATCTAAATGTAGGTTAGCACCAATTTTTGGAAAAACAGAAATGTCAAACCAGAGTTATGCATAGGTAACGGGGAGCCTTTGAATTCAAGAATGTCATGGTAAAAATTGTACTAATCATGGAGTTGTAAGTAACACAAACTATCTGATACCAACTTAAAAGCTTCTCAAAACCTGCTCTAAGGATCGGAGAGGCAGGGCTTCAGTGCTCTAAAAAGGCTCAAACATTTTAAATGTTTTCACAATAAAAACATTTATATTAGGGTAGCCCTAACTGCTATAACAGCAACAACCCAAATCGCCATTTATTTTTTTCTTGTGTAAAATTAAATGTGGGTAAAAGATATTAAGAATTAAAATGTTTACTACCTAAATGTTTACTATCTTTTGTTCTCTGTGCATAACTATTTTATCTTTTATTTTGGGTCAAGAAGAATGGATGCTTATATTTTTACTTCAAGTTTTCTTTCATAGTCCACCATGACTACACTAAAAATGTCATACATGAAGACACATGGTCATAGAATCATTTAGATTTACTTTGTTTTTCCATATACTGATTTTACCAAAATTTGGCCAAAATTGGGAAAAGATTAATTTAGGCAGTCATATTTTTTCATTCTTTTTAATAACAAAAACAAAAATCCAAAAACATACAATAAAACCATTTTATAGTGTTATTGAAGATGCCTGAGTTGAGCGTTTTGTTTGTTTGTTTGTTTTAATATATTTTTATTGATTTCAGAGAGGAAGGGAGAGGGAGAGAGAGAGAGAAATATCAATGATGAGAAAGAATCATTGATTGGCTGTCTCCTGCATGCCCCACACTGAGAATCCAGCCGACAACCCAGGGATATGTCCTGGCCAGGAATTGAACAGTGATCTTCTGGCTCACAGGTGGATGCTCAACCACTGAGCCATGCTGGTCTGACTGAGTTGAGGTTTTAATGCTGGAATATTTTGTGGTCTAATCAAATGTTAAGCAACGTTTTCCCTGAATGTTCCATGAACTTTAATGCAATTCACATGTATTCATCAAACTTGTAAATTATTTGTGTCGATGAATTCAGAGAACCTTGCAAATAAAAAATCAAGAATGTTATGGTGTTGCTACATCATGACCTTTAATGAGCAACACTACAGTTTCAGCTTATTTATTTTGTATTTTTTGTGACACCATTAGCACCCTCATCTTGTTTATTATTTATTCATTATTCTTAGCTTGTTTATTGCCTCTTTTTTCCTCCTCTAATTCTTCAGTGGGAAGAAATCAGTGGTGTTGATGAGCATTACACACCCATCAGGACTTACCAGGTGTGCAATGTAATGGAACATAGTCAAAATAATTGGCTGAGGACCAACTGGGTCCCCAGGAACTCAGCTCAGAAGATCTATGTGGAACTCAAGTTCACTCTACGAGACTGTAATAGCATCCCGTTCGTTTTGGGAACCTGCAAGGAGACTTTCAACCTGTACTACATGGAGTCTGATGACGATCATGGGGTCAAGTTCCGAGAGCATCAGTTTACAAAGATTGACACCATTGCAGCTGATGAAAGTTTCACGCAAATGGATCTTGGGGACCGTATTCTTAAACTCAACACTGAAGTTAGAGAAGTAGGCCCTGTCAACAAAAAGGGATTTTACTTGGCTTTTCAAGATGTTGGAGCTTGTGTTGCCTTGGTGTCCGTGAGAGTGTACTTCAAAAAGTGCCCATTTATAGTGAAGAATCTGGCCATGTTTCCAGACACAGTACCGATGGATTCTCAGTCCCTGGTGGAGGTTAGAGGTTCTTGTGTTAACAATTCAAAGGAGGATGATCCTCCTAGGATGTACTGCAGTACAGAAGGTGAATGGCTTGTACCCATCGGCAAGTGCTCATGCAATGCTGGCTACGAAGAAAGGGGTTTTATGTGCTTAGGTAAGTCCTCCCGATTTTTCTTAAAGTGGTATTTCTCACCTGCGAGTTTATCGTAGAGTAATTGAAACAAATTAACTAAACCTATGCTCACTTGGCAGCCAAACATGCCTTAAACAGGACAGAGTCTATATATAGACTAAGTTTATTCCACTTGATGTGTTGATTCATCGTTTATTTTAGAAATATTAACATGTTTGAGCATGTGGTGCTGGCGTATACCCCACTAGAGGTGTAACTTCTGCTATTTTTAAGTTTTCCCTGCTATTTAATGACTATGGAAATGAAACTCTAAGAAAAAAATAATCCCCTGTCATTTTCATGTTGAAAGAAGAAACATCATTGATCTCGGGCAGGTAAGTTAATTCTAACAGAATTAGAACGTGTGCTGACTAGGTTTGTGTTTTTATGTCTCATAGTAGAATGTATTATATTGTTATAAAATTAGTCTTTTCTTATACATTAAAATTTTAAATGTAGAAATGCATAGGAATGCTTAAGTACCTAGTCTGTAGAATCTAATCTGTTTTAACACTTTTGTTTCCTATTACATTATGCCAAAGAAGTTGAGTTTGGTATTATTCTTAATGCCATTCAGTAAACCTCAAGTCCACAGGGAAGAAATTATTATAATTTATATATAAATTTACCTTTCTAACAATCTGAATGGAACATAGCATTTTGCTTTTGACTACAGATATAGTTTATAGAAAAAAAATTTTAATGAGAACAAATGGTACATTCTAGCCTCATACTTCTTGGTATTATTTAGATCCTTGGCAATCACCATTAGAATACTGTTACTAAGTATAGTTTTGAAAGTTCTAAAATTGAAACAACATACTAGCTACTGCTTGCTTATATACATGAGTAGAGGGAACACTCAATAGCTTCATTATCCACTTGAATTGTGTTTTATTATCATAGTATTATTTGTGATATATGATGTTTGTGAGATTAATTTTAAATGAAATGATTAAGACCTAGCTGAAGAGGAATTAAATATTCTCTAATTTCTCACCTTCACTAATTTCATCCCTATGGAACCAATCTCTGATACTCATATGTATCGATTTAAACAAAGATATATCATAAAGTATTACATTCAACAAGAAATCTAATCATTAGATGTTTGGATTTTAAATAATTTTATATAGTGCTTTATATCTCAAAAAGAATTAAAAGAAATGGAAAAATAAGTATCAGTGAGATAAATAGAATCACATAAAAGTGATAATAGAAATAAAAGATTCAAATTATCAGCTCATTACACATACTGACTTGAAGACAACTTTAGAAGAATATTTTTTAAAAAGAGTAATGTTAAGTGGTATTAAGAAAGTTCACCATAAATTCAGAATTGCTATTATTTTACTAACTGCATCTTAATTTACCGAACCACTTTTTTAAAAGTTACTATGCTATTCAGTGATGCTCCATGTCAAATTATTCCTAGAGAACACATTGATGTCAGTTTTACATCCTTGAATTGTGTACTTTATTATATTGAAGGACATCACAGCACCTCTTTGATATAAAAAATGCTATATTGTTGCAGACTTTCTTGACGTTTATAAATACTAGTATTAGAATAAGACATGCATATGCTTAAATACAAACTATTCTAAGAAAATATATTGGAGATAAACTAATAACAATAATTTTAGTAGAAGTGAAGATAATGTGTGAAATGGGATGTGACTGGAATTTAAAAAGGGATGATTTTTCAGTCATGTGATTTGAAGGTGGAGCATAGACTTACAGTTATTTGTTGACATTTGCTAATTTATCAAGTTCTCAACACCTTGATTCTGTAATTGTGTAGGCCAGATTGGCTTGAGGCTTGTAATTTTGCTATTGTTGTCAGTGATGGTGCTGGTGTTTGTTATGGTTTCCTTTCTTAATTTTTAATTTTATGGTTGGTTTTTAATAAGATTGTGGGCTGGTCAGAAGAGCTGGCTATGACTCTCACAAATCAGTGTTTGATCACAAGTACTTCAGGCACCCAAAGACATGGTAATGCTTCAAAAAGGTAAACATGACAAAATAGCTAAACATGTATTTCATTAGTTGTTTATTTTGTTGTTTTTTGTTTACAAAAAATCATGTCACTCTTTTGAAAAGTAATCATAGGCTTTTAATTGACTAAACCAGAAGAAAATGAGACTCCTTCACTTTATTTCAACAACTTTAATGAGAACGTACTTCATTCCAAGCACTGTAGTAACAATTCAGACTTTAAACATTCATTAAGCACTTAGGAGATGCCAGACACTGTGCTGACTTGTTAAGTAATATTTATGAGTTACTTCATTTTTCCTTTGAAATTACCTATTGATACATACTGTTATTATCTCCATTTTTAAATGAGAACAAAGCTTTGATAGTTTAAATGTCTTTCCTTAAGTTCCTTAATAAGTGAGTGTGAGAGTTGAGATCTGAAATTAGGCAGTCTGATCCCAAGGTCTGCAGTCCCAACCTCAACCCACAAGCTTTCCTATGATTCAGTCCAGTGGTGACAGAGACTAGGAAACCCCCAGGACACAAATTCCACTGGAGTTACAGTTCTGTATATTGAAGAATGAGTGGGGCCGCAAAAAGTTGGCACAAAGTAACTAAGGATCTGTTAATATAAGGTTTATCTATTTCAGTATATTTCCCAGATTTTTCTGTTTCTAGATTTTTAAGAAAGAAGAATTGCTAGCCAAATGCCATATTATGGGAAAATGAGGTTTGGCCTAAGTTAGTAAAATCTGGATATGTGGATTGTCATGCACTTTAGATATGCATAAAATATCTGCCAAATTTAACTCAATAAGTGTTTTTGACCATCTATTAATACAAATTAATAATGTGTCAGGCATAGGGGAAACATGGATGAGTAAGTCATTTTACCTACCTTCTAGGAGCTCACAATCTAGTATGAAAGACAGATACATAAGTGGATAATTTTAGTGCAAGACAGACCAATAAATCTTCTACCAGGGGTACAGAGGTGCTTTGGTAAATAGGGAAAGAAGATATTAATTTTGAGTATTTCAAAATTATTAATGAAAATTGTTCATTTATAATGAGAAACCTTTGCATTGAGTTTTCAGACCCTTTACTATTGTGTTTAGAAAATTTTGCGGTAAAGTGAAAGAGCTAATCACCTTACACAGCTTATACATTTCAGAAGTTGAGTTTTATAATTTGTTTATTGAGTCATTATTTCAAAATGTGGAAAATTCCCATTAGAATTCTGGCTATTCCACAGGGAGGCCTTACAGAGGGTTTACATTTCATAACATAGTTATTTTATGACATCAAATGAAATATTTTGAATTATCTTTCTCACAGATGTTGGGACAGTTATTAAATTATGGAAATGTGACAATCTCTGTTTGATGGAAAATTATATTGATAAAATATTTTGTTTTCAAAAAACTCATCCATTACTTTCAGAGCTATAAGAAAAACCAAAATTGTCTTTGTATAGGACTATAGTTCTAACTAAGGTGTTATCTACCCTCATACATAATGCAAACTTTCACAATAGCCCACTTATTCCTAAAATGAGAAAAAGTAAAATCATATGGTATTTGTCTTTCCCTGGCTGGCTTATTTCACTTAGCATAATGCTCTCCAGATCCATCCTTTCTGTCCCCAAAAGTAAGATTTCCTTTTTTTTATGGAAGAGTAGTATCCCATTGTGTACTCGTACTATAGCTTTTTTATTCAGTCATCTGATGGCCACTTAGGGTCCTTTCACATCTTGGCTATTGCAAATAATGCTGCAATAAACACAGGGGTGTATATATTATTTCGAATTAGTGTTTCAGGTTTCTTTGGATATATAACCAAAAATGGAATTGTTGGGTGACAAGGTGGTTCCATTTTTAATTTTTTGAGGAAACTCCATACTGTTTTCTATAGTGGCTGCACCAATGCAAGAGGGTTCCCTTTTCTCCACATACTTGCCAGCACTTGTTGTTTGTTGATTTATTCATGATAGCCATTCTGACAGGTCTGAGGTCAATCTAATGAACAAAATAAACAAAGCAACAAAATAGAAACAGACTCATAGAAAAAACTACAGACAGACAGCTGTCAGAGGAGAAGGGGGTATGGGACTGAGTGAAAAAGGTGAAAGGATTAAGCAAAACAAACAAACAAACACACACAAAAAACCTCATAGACACAGACAACAGTATGATGATTTCCAAGGGGAAAGGGGAAAGAAGATAAAAAGGGGACAAATGGTGACAGAAGGAGACTTGATTTGGGGTGGTGAATACTAATACAATAAACAGATAACGTATTGTAGAATTGTACATGTTAAACCTATAATTTTTAACCAGTGTAACACCAATAAATTAAATAAAAATAAAAAGTTTAAATGAGAAAAAGTAGATGAAAGTATCCTTTAATCATTTATTCAGTTATTGAACAGTTATTGAACCTCTAATATGTGCTAAATCCTATTAGACATTAGCAAAGGGAGATGAACATTATGACTGCTAAATTATTTTGGTTGTTTAAAAATATGAGGTTGTGTGTGTGTGTGTGTGTGTGTGTGTGCGCACATATGAGTGAATATGTGTCTTAAAATGTAAAATGTTTTGGTCTCTGTCTCCAAAGGAACATAGATTTTTAGCTGAGTTATAAACAGAGCTAAGTTAATAATAGACTGAAGCAAAGGTATTAGTATTGTTGAGGAAGGAGATATTGATAAGGGAGGACATGATTGATGGGAAATTAACATTTTCTGCAATAAATGCTTTATGTTGCTGGCCTCTTTTCTTTGCTATCGAAGAAACATGAGAACCTAAGAGTAGAAAATGCAGCTTTCTCTTTCAAGGATTGGTTGGAGGAATAAAATTGGGAGCAATGAAAAGCATATTGGTAAAGAATCATTCAGGAATTGTGTGCTAAGCAAACTCAAAATACAGAAAAAGGCAGCTCCAAGAAAGTAAAAAGTACTTATTATGATAAATTTGGTAAGTTCGAAATGCACATTAAAA